ATATAAATAAGCAAATTTAAAACATTACAATAAAATTTAATGACACAAAAATGTAATTATTTTGTTATATGTTTATTTTTGCAAAAGATATTATAAAATTTCTTTATTATAAAAACCTTCATCTAAAGATGACTGCTTTAAATATGGCTTCTCTGTTTATATTTTGGCATATGACAATTCAGTTCTTCAAAAGAAATTTAACTGAAAGAATTTATTGTTAAATTCCCCACAAAACCCATAGTTTTGTGTAACAGTTACAGACAAAATATTATTTAAAATAAAATTATTTAAAATTTTGAGATCATATAAATCTGGCAACTTTTCTGATATCATTGCGAGTCTTGAATTTTAATAGCATATCTTATAGATTTAAAGGTATAACACAAATAGATGCTGTACGATACTGCGGTAGTTCACGATGTTAAATCATACCACAACAATATCACAAACAGCCATTTTTAGATAATGACTGATGAAAGTTAATATATAGATATAATTGGACTATGATGTTTTGGTTTGATAAATTTATTGTTTTAAAATCGAAACTTCATCAACGAATTGTTTATAGCTGTGCAGATTTACATATGTAATACATGAAAATGCAGTAAAGACTGCATTCAAAAAACATAAGAGGGTTCATTACTCATTCTCATATAATCCACAGTAGCATATTTGATGTTTACAATAATAATGTCACTGTATACTCATATGTACAAAAGAAAAAATAAACTTTGGTTGATCCATTTAATAGAACATTATAGTCGAAGTATTGATTAAAAGAAAGAAATAAGAAATCCATTCCAAATAGGTATAAGTACAATAGATAATATACTGCAGCGTTATACATGCAAACGATCCAACAATTCATGATCTTATGTATATTTTACAATATGCTTGAAATTGTTGATCTACCTCTTCATTATATATTAGATTACTGAGCGGTAATCATAAAGGAATGTTTGTAATATTAATTATTAAAAAGTTGTATAGGTATACATAGCTATGAATATCAAAAAAGTAGCTAATTTATAGTTGCAATAAGGGTAGGATGCACAATAGATCAAGCTGGTCGCAGCGCATAAAGGCCTAACCCATAAACCATTAACATACTTACAATAAGATAATTGTGATTATAATTATAATTTGGATACATCAATTTCTACTCTTCTACTAAAGATACTTTTTAAATCAAATTTCAAAATGTCTTTTTTTCATATTAAATCATTTCAGTTGACTCAATAATTGATCAGTTAATTTAACTGATCCCTGAATACAATTGTTAAATTTTTAAATAAAATATTGATGTTTACAATGTTTAAATTAATTTAAATATTAAAATAAATTTTGAAGTAATCAATGTAAAATAAAAATAATAACAAAATAATTTTAACTTATATCGGAATTAATTTATATTAAGGTTTTGTGTGAAGAAAGTATGTCAAATTACGTGGATTAGGTAACGTCAGTAGTCTCTCCGATTCGGTTGGCTGCGTCTTTCCAATAGCTTCCGATATAACTGGTCCGGAGCTGGTGTTAAACATAAAGGAGTGATCTGTTGACTTATTGTTCTTCTCAAAATTTTTTGAAGAATTACCATTTGCCTGGTCAGTGAATATAACTGTGGTTTTGCTTGTTGCTATTGATGATGTTTTGGGAGATTTCTTCAAAGTATTGTGTTTTTTATTCGAACCACTGAGGTGTGTCAGATTATTAACCCCTAACATTTTTCTTGAAGACACACCAATTGATGGACGACTTTTGCAAATATTTGGACTATTCAAAGATTCCATTAAACAACGCTTAACAGTTAGTCCGTTGTTATTTATTGTTGGCAGTTTACGCTTAAGCGATGAAGATACTTTCCTTGCTGAATTTGTTATTAAAGGTGAGTTCAACGTGGATATTACTGAGTTGCTTTTACTAGATATTGCACGTGTTTGCGATTTTACTTGCATATTCTTTCGAGTATTTGTACGTTGTTCCTTTGCTTGACGTTTCTGAGCCCATTCATTACTCATATAATCTACAATATTTTCACCATAAACAGTAAATGGTTTATGCTCCCGTACTTTGTATATTTTAACCAATTCTGTAATTTTTCGTTCAATAATTGGTAATTTGGTCGTAATAGTTTTTCGCTCCTTTTCTTCTTTCAAAAGTTGTCCACCACGGTTATTATAACGACCCGGTTCTGTAGCTTTATTCTCTAATGCCATCATACGTTCCCAAAGTATCTTTCGACTTTCGAATAGTTCAAAAATCTCTTGATTAGTTTCATAGTATGTTTGTAGATCATCGAGTTCCAGTTCGTGCAAGACCAGTAAATCATCTGTATAGTAATTATTGTTAAAGTTAGAGAAACGATTTCGTTCTACTTCCGACTTAAGCGTTTTGTCCCACCATTGCGTTATTTGCTCACGTAATTGTTGTATATAAAATTTGATGTTTTGACGTTTGAGCGCTTCGCATCTCTGTATTTCCTTGTAGTAAATATCAAATGCAACTTGTGTGTAGTCATTTAAGTGTATAAATTTATTACGTGTATTCGTAGTTATATTTAAGAGATTCCATAATTTTTCTAAGCTCTGTCGCATGTTATCTATACCCTCACGTACCTCTTGCACCTTCGCACCGTAACGTTTATGCATATATTGCAATCCATTAAATGTCTCTTCATCAAGTTTTATTTGATGATGATTTAAAAGTTTATTTTCATTGTCGGTATTAACTTCCAATTGCAGTATTTGTAAATAATCTTTTATTTCTTTACGTAAGTTAGATACATCATTTAAGCGACTCATGCGAATAGTATCTAATTCATTTAAATGCTTGCGAAAATCATTTATTTCATTTTCCGTTGGTAATGGATCTTCCAGCAATGGTTGGGCTTCTACACCAAGTTCTTCGCAAAGTGCCCTTTGTTGTAGCAACATCTCTCGAATGTCTTCACGCTTCTGACGCAAAGACTCACGCAAGTCCTGTAAACTTTTATCCAAATCAGATTGTTGCATTAATAATGGAATATCTGGATCGGTGCATGGTAATTCTGCCTCTATATTGAGCAAGCGATGTAAATTTTTAGCTTCGTCTTTTAAATCATTTATCTCTCTTTCAATAAATACTTTCTTTTCTTCAGATTCCGAAACCAATTCTGTATAAAATGACTCTGCGTGCCTTACCAATTTACGTAAATGTTCCTTACAAACTTCAAGTGGAAAGATTTCAATCCATATATTCAATAATTTTTTGACATTTATTTTTGATGTCGTTTCGATCTTAAGCAAAAGCTTTTCAAGTTCGATAAGTTCTGCCATTTTTTTGTTTTGTTTCAAGATATTTAAAAACAATTTACTTCTTCACGTTGTTTTTCTTCTTTACAAATGACACTTTCAAGTATAATTATGGAACAATCAGAATAAAATATGCTAAATTAGCGATGACACTTAAAGCTTTGTTAAAAGTTATTATTGTGGTTACTTAGTCAAAAATAAAAACAGGGTTGTTGTTTTTATACATTTGTAATGTAATATATATTCATTGTAACAAGAATCTTATATGGCGTTTACATTGGCCGAAAATGGCTCATTTTGAATGAGCCATTTGAAAGTGTTTACATTCGTTCTATTTCATTTGTTCTCATTTCAACAGCTATTTTTCAACTTGCATGTTGATTTGATTTTTGGCCTGTGCCAAAAAAATGTTGCATGAAGGTTAAATATGCCTTCAAACCTTACATTAGAAACTTAAAATATATTTTTAACTTCGATTAATTACTTTTTGGGAAGTAAAAGTTCTAAACAGCAGTGCATCGTTTTCAAGAAAATGCAACCACCAAACATTTGTTTACCTTTTTTTGTGAATATGTTAAAAACAGCTTTTTCAAACTGTCAAAATGCCATGAAGAGCTTTCATTTAGGGTATGTTCAATGGATTCCTTTGCATTTGGAACGTATGTGGTTGCTCTCCGTGAACGCGGTCCTAGATTCATACTGTATCACGATGTAAGCGTGATGAACAATAGTATATGTTCATTTTGCTTGGTGAATACTTTTTATATTAAGGCGAAGAATATGACTATGTGCGGATACCTCATTTGTCGGGACATTTCTTTGCTATCTTAACATGAGCCATTTTCGGCCAATGTAAACGCCGTATTAAATTTAGAATCTTAAAATCTTATATATATATACATATAATTATAATTATACTTTATTATTATAATATAGAATCTATATTAAGTTCACACATCTCTATAGTTTATTTAGACATACAAAAGCAACTATTTATAACCGATTACTTAGTGATTAGTTGATAAGAATAATTTTGATACATTTCTGTATTTTTAATTTTATTTTGTGTTTCCACTTTTTATTATATATGAATATAAATTTTTACAATAGAAGTAAATTTTTGCAAAAAGTAAAAAGCAAAAATTAGAAGATTTATTTTTAAATACCGACTGCTTATTAAATTAATATTTAATAATACAGCTTATTCTAATAGATGGCGCTAGCATCTCTAATGCTTTCGCTTGCTGATATTAGATATAAAAAGATTAGTAAATTTCATTTTGCATATAAACAGAATGAATTAAATTAAAAAAACCAACTAATTTGAATATAAAGTGTGATTTAAAATTAATATGTAACCATTCAAACATATCATGATGTCTTACTGCATATGTAATAATTACTTTTAATTACTAATTATTATCATTATTAAAAAGAAGGAATAGTGCACTGCGACCTAAAAGATCTATTGTGCTCCTTATTTGGGTTAGAGTGTTTCTCCAATTTCTTTAATGAAAAACAGTATAGAGCCTACCTTTTCTAGTCTTGAATCTTTATGATCCATGAAATACCCTCTTAAGTGTTTTTTTCCGCTTGCGCATCAGAGCCGTGCACTTTCTAAGCTCATGGTATGTAGTTTTTCTCTCTTCTCTACAGTATCTGCAGTCTGAGTTGGATTGAATTCCTAAGTTCGATAGGTGATTATTCAATCTACAGTGACCGGTCAAAAATCCCGTAATAATTCTTATGTTGTTTTTTGATTGTGCTATGCAATCTTTGAAGCGTTTTAGGTTGTAAGTCTCTAACAGCATTTTAGATAGTAAGAGTCCCAATAGAGTTCTCTTTCTTTTTAATCTGTACCATTCATAAGAATGCATAGAGTTCTTTTGTCTAGACCACAGAATGGTTCTGGGTTTATCATTCTTGAGGCTGCGCATCTTCTAGCAAGTTTATCTGCTATTCTATTGCCTTGGATACCAGCATGTCCCGGAATCCCTTATTAGAGAAATATTTTTAACAGTATTGAGTTCCAACATCAAAATTTTATTATTCAATAATTGATTAATATTTACGACGGTTTCGAGTATTATCAAATACACATCATCAGTCATCTTTGAGCAAAAGATTCAATTAATTATTAATTAAAAAAATATCGTCTATTTGCCATCGTATAACTATCTCCCATAATCATACTTAAATATAAATAATCATTAATTCACCAGAACCACTTGTTATCTTAAACACAAATAGTGGATGATGAGGTTTTAAAATGAACGAAGTTACGTATAACAAGAAACCGAACGATTTATTGCACTCTGTGATGAAGTGATTAAAAAATAATGTTTACTGATTTTAAAAGACACACTCCCAGGATACAATTGACTGAGTCGGTGAATATATTATATACCATATATGTTGATCATATGAAAAATACGAATAAAATATTCTGGAGTTATTTAGTATCACAAATAAATAGACATAACCACATAAAAAGGGATCGGAAAATGCTGATTCGCTCAGTAAACAAAAATTTATAAGTTACTGATCTTGTGACTTCACTGGTCTTGTGACTTTACTGATCTTGTACTAATCTTGTAATAATGATACAATAACGAAATTGGAATTGAATTACTAATGAACGAGGTATGACCAAGCGTAATATAATTCCGTTACACCTATAGCCTATGCAATATCGACATCATGGTGCGTGTTACAATATCAATTTATTCTCGAGATGAGCTTGTTTTTAAGTCGGTTTTTATTAACGTAATTACATAGATCTAGAGAGAAAAACTTGTAGAAACCCATACCCCCTGGTGTTAGTCGACTTGTGCTGCAGTGAGGAAAGGCACTACGTGAATAAGTCTTTGAGCGAAGACCTTCAAATAATTAGCACCCTCGTGTGGTTATATAATCTTGTATGAGTATAACAGATTTCTACCAAGTTCAAGTTTCTTTTCTTCCCAATTCGTGGGAACTGAACTAACCTTATCAGTGTCAATGAACTTTAAAATATTTTTATATAAAACTAATTTAACTGCGTTTAATTAAAATACACAAAAAAACAATAAAATAGTATATTATAATATATAATAGTATAATAATATAAAATAGTATTAGTATAGTAAATAGTCCTTAACAAAAGTCGGAAGAGCTGCTTTTAAAAAAATTTTAATGAATTCATTAACTAGAAAATTTGATGTACATCTATAAGGACTATTTATATGTTGAAGTAGTAATAAGTACACTTAAAAGTAACAATTTGATGTACATCTATAAGGACTATTTATATGTTGAAGTAGTAATAAGTACACTTAAAAGTAACAATAAGTAAGTAATAAGGTTCATAAAATAAGTAATAAGGTTGATAAACTTTATTTATCTATTCGATTTATTATTAAGTTTTACAATATTTATTAATGTTTCGTAATCATTTTTAGTATAGTTTTATACTTTGGTTTTAAAGAATTTATTTCCTGTGTCAACAACGGAAAATAAAACTTCATTTACTTGTAAATTTTTGAACAAATATCAAATCAAATTCGTGTAATTTCGCACGTCATAAACTTAAGCCAAATAAAATTAGATTACATTACTTAACTGACAAAAGTCATCAAATTCATTTAATGCCGACAATAAACAAACATTAATTAGTTTGTTTAATTGTTTTATTTATTTTCTTAACTATTATCCAAATATTATATAAACAAAACCACTTATGTGAATCGAGTTTAAGGTCAAATAAATCTGCAAAACTGAAAGAAATTACCTTAAAACGTAAGTTTTCACATGTGAATTTTTACCGGAAAATACAAGTTTTTATAATATTTCATCAAAAAAAAATGCTTTTGTAAAATTTGCTAACAATTACGTCAACAATTACCAAATTTAATTGTTCAAAAGTGAAAAAGGAATTACATACGAATTTACCAACGAAACGGTTAACAAATGCGTGTTAACATAAAAGTGGAGAAGATCTTATCAGTGCAACAATTGAAATTATCTCTTGTGTCATATAAATCAGCTCTGTTAAGCATCACTTTTATCAAAGGCACAGATACACTTTAACTGATTTGAGATAGATTAAGTAACTGGGTTTTGGAATATGGGCTTTCAATCAAATGGTGTTGATGAGTCAAGTTTCACAGTGGGTTACTTGTATGTTGCTAATGTAATCAGAGTCAATTCAAAGTCTCTTGAATAGTAATTAAAGACAATTAATGACACCAGAAGTACAGTATCAACAAAAATCGTTTAATCTAAGGGTGCTAAACTATATTATATATATATCATATATATTATATATGTTTTATTATGTTGAAGTTATTTGAACCAGTGCACTTGAGCACTTTTACTCTTTCTTAACTCGAGATATTTTCAAAACCTCTCTTTGCGCCTTGACTGGATTATTGTTTATCACTTGATCAGACTAAGTAATAATTGACCTCAGATCTGCACATCTCCCCGAGGAGTCTGTAACCATTATGAGATTTGATAACGCAGTATTAGTAAGTCTATCAGTGTTCGCAAATAATTTCATGGCTCTATCCTTTATGTATTTTTTGATCGGATCAATCTTGAGGTCCCTGAGGATGTCATTCGTCCTTATGCAGCATGGTACTTTAAAAAGTCTTCTCAGAGCCTGGCTTTGTGCAATTTCTAGCTGGCGAATAGTAGTGTTTGAAGCTTTGCTAAACGCTACACATCCATATATATGTTATGTATTATATATATATATATATATATATATTATATATTATATATATTAGTTGGCACTAGCTGGCGTACGTTGTTTTTTGTTTGTGTAGTCAACTAACAACATGAAACCTCAATATCTCAAGAAGCTATTTCGGCATATACCATAATTATAGTTGCTAAACTATACTAACCCTATTATGTGGTAACTGGAATCCTAGGCACATATTTACTTACTGTCTGTGCCTAATAGGAAGTCAGTCACAAATATTCTACGTTGATGACACTTAATAAATGGATAAATGGATTTTTGGGTGTCTCCCAAAAAAACCTTAGAACTCTTATACTCA